CCCCCTAAGAATTTTCTTTAAAAATCATGTATTTTCACCATTTTCCTCAATTTTCCCCGTTTTTATGCTTTTCAACGAAATGCTGACATAGAAATGATAAAAAAAAAAATGAAGAATGATAAGGAAAATGGCGCATTTTTCTGAACACAGGCGAGAATTGGCTGCAGCTAAGCGAGCGGTAATAAAGAAGGAAAAGCGCGAAAGATTCGAAGTGAAAATGATGAAAATTGCTTCAGAATAATATGGCGTAATTGATGTGAACGGTATTGTGAGAATTGAGAGAATAAAGAGAAACAGTTGGCAGAAGAAAAGAGAAATAGAAAAAAAGGAGCGCATGGGTTGGATTAAGTTATCAAAGTCGTTGTGGATTTTCAAGAAATTTCAGATCATGTCAAACCGCTAAATAGGCAAATAAGTTGTCTTTCGTAGTTTTAATGTAGTGTTTTAAAATTTGATTTTCGATAATATAGGGTAAAGTGACAGTGAGTCGGACACCTCCTCTGTTAAAACTCAAATTGCTTTCGTTCTATATAACCTACCGTAATGCAATGGATATCGTCCGATAGTCTACGTTTTTCTCTTTCAAATACTTCTCGGAACTCTTCTCCTTACATCATATAGCGTAAGACAAAACGAAACGAATCACAATATGGCAATTTGATAGTGAGTCGGACGCTTTCTATATTGAGTCGGACACCTGATTTACCTTGTGATATAGAATCGGACAGTCTCCAGATGACCAAAAGCAAGAATGTTCTCGTTCAAATTATTGACTTAGTTAGGGGATTTAATATAACGTTAGGGGAGTTAATATAACGTTAGGGGAGTTAATATAACGTTGGGGGAGTTAATATAACGTTAGGGGAGTTAATATAACGTTAAGGGAGTTAGTATAACGTTAGGGGAGTTAATATAACGTTAGGGGAGTTAATATAACGTTAGAGGAGTTAATATAACGGTAATATAACATTAGGGGAGTTGATATAACGTTAGGGGAGTTAATATAACGTTAGGGGAGTTAATATAACGTTAGTGGAGTTAATATAACGTTAGAGGAGTTAATATAACGTTAGGGGAGTTAATATAACGTTAGGAGAGTTAATTGTGTAAAACAAATCCCATAAAGCTACCTATTAGTTCATTTGAATATTTGGTTATTTAACCCAAACGGCAAAAACAAAAGCATTTTTTTATTTACTCTCCCTCCCAAACACATCTCTACTGAGTAATGTATCATGACTGGATTTAAATGATATTATATCGTATTATAACAGCGTGACTGTCACACGAACTAAAAGTTAACCAACAAACATAGCTACACATGTAGGTTAAAATAACTTAATTCTGTTTATTTCAATACTGTTTAATTTTATTTTTATATGATTAATAGCAGAGGGCTAGCATAGACAATGGCTGCCACTCATAAATATATATATATATATATTTAAATAAAGAAGGTCCTAGAATGGCACCCTGGGGATACTCCACCTGATTCAGCGGGAACAAGGTCTTCTCGCCGTTGAAAAAGACAGGGTTTGTTTTATTTTACCAATATGTACTATAAAATACAAGAAGATATCCTGGATAAGTTGTTTTTGAAGTGTCTAACGTTATTATTAAAACTCATTCTTTGAAAAAAATAACAAAATATGTGAAGAAATATTAAACAAAAATTTATTTTAAGAATGCCAAATCTAAGTCTAAAACTGTCACAATATCCAGAGGATTCTGATTAAGTGTATGATGTCGAAGAGATAAAACGTAGTCCCGTTATCGGGAAAAGGAGTTGTCGCCCTTGACCATATCTTAACTTAGTTGATCCCATCGATATCATGACAGACAACGACGACAGCCTACGGCTCTCTCGTCAGATACAGAATGAGCGGACGTCACTAGGGGGATTCGAGACCGGCCTTAAACGGGTAAATAAGCCTTTTTATTAGGATGTGTCGTCAATCACAGGAATACAAAATAATCGAATAGCATGTTTGCTGCACAATGTACTTAGGAGGAACATTAGCGGTTTTTGGTATACCAAGGGAGGGTACTCGTACTTTGGACTTATTAAGGTGTCTGGATCGGAACATTTTCTTCAAAGGTAGTTTTTAGCTTATACACCGTAACACGGCGTCCTTCTGTCGGTCAATCAACTTTTCTTTTAAAGGGCTTCTAGTAAGAATAACCCATGGATGAGGGTGGCGCTCAGTTCTAAATCCAAAGGGACGGCATAGGAACGCTATCCAAAATATAATAGGACTGCCGCTCCTGAAGAATGGAATGACGAATTTTAACCAATTCAATAAAAACAAATTTACACCGGTAACAAAGGACTTAATTAATCAAATAAATATAAGATGTAATATATTTTCCCGACTCATCCTACAATCAGTGGTTACGGTGAAGGGGGTTAGGGTATGGGAAATGACAAAAATAAAGGTTAATGTGCAAAGAGATTTACGGTAGGGGAAATGACAAAAATAGAGTTTAATGTATAAAGAGATTTATGGTTTGGGAAATGGCAAAAATAGAGTTTAATGCGCAAAGAGATTTACGGTAGGGGACATTACAAAAATAGAGTTTAATGTATAAAGAGATTTACGGTAGGGGAAATGACAAAAATAGAGGGTAATGACAAAGAGATTTACGGTAGGGGAAATGACAAAAATAACCAGTAGAGGTTAATGTACAAAGAGATTTACGGGAGGGGAAATGACAAAAATACCCAGTAGGGGTTAATGTACAAAGTGATTTACGGTAGGGGAAATGACAAAAATAGAGGATAATGACAAAGAGATTTACGGTAGGGGAAATGACAAAAATAACCAGTAGAGGTTAATGTACAAAGAGATTTACGGTAGGGGAAATGACAAAAATACCCAGTACAGGTTAATGTACAAAGAGATTTACGGTAGGGGAAATGACAAAAATACCCAATAGAGGTTAATGTACAAAGAGAGTTACGGAAGGGGAAATGGCAAAAATAGAGGTTAATGTACAAAGAGAGTTACGGAAGGGGAAATGGCAAAAATAGAGGTTAATGTACAAAGAGAGTTACGGAAGGGGAAATGGCAAAAATAGAGGTTAATGTACAAAGAGAGTTACGGAAGGGGAAATGGCAAAAATAGAGGTTAATGTACAAAGAGAGTTACGGAAGGGGAAATGGCAAAAATAGAGGTTAATGTACAAAGAGAGTTACGGAAGGGGAAATGGCAAAAATAGAGGTTAATGTACAAAGAGAGTTACGGAAGGGGAAATGGCAAAAATAGAGTTTAATGTACAAAGAGAGTTACGGAAGGGGAAATGGCAAAAATAGAGGGTAATGACAAAGAGACATAAATAGTGGTTGATATCAGCGTTTCAAAATTCGCTAATCGTGCTTGATTTTGTCCACATTAGGAAATCTCGACAAACACTTTTTGCTGTGAAATTCTTTAATGAAGCACAATGATATGTGACACCATTTTGACTTCGGACATTTTAGTTACGTATCGTATCGGGAGGGGATGGTAGTATGGTGTGTGAAATGGACGTGCTGCGGTCGGACAAGAACAGCCACGGAACCCTACACGGTGGGCTGATCTGTACTTTGGCCGACACCGTGTCCTCTTGGGCTTTTCACGTGGTCGAGCGCACGCAAGTCAGCGTCAGTACCGACCTTCACGTCATGTGAGTGCTGTTCAGTGTGAATAATATCGTCGATCGCTGTCAGAACTTTGTTCCTGATTTTTATTCTGTCTTCAAGTAAATCATTACAATGAAAACATAATATAAAGCTACCATAAGTACAGCAAATTGTTTACACAGGGTATCAAATTTGATTTCCCTTTTGGCTGATGCAAATGTTACTAACTGTACTTATATAATGGTTTTGTATTCCACAGTGTTTACCCTTTTGTCAGTTGATAACTTTACACACAGGTTTATGAAGCCCGCGTTAGTTGGTACGACGATTATAATAGAGGCTCGGACGGTCAAGCGTGGTAAAAAAATGGTCTTCCTGGAGGTGACCATCAAGGACAAAGAAAAGGGATTCATTGTCGCTAAAGTGAGCCACTCCAAGCTGATACTAGGTAAGCCGCGTATATTACTATAGATGTTACTGATATTACAGTGAGCCACTCCAAGCTGATACTAGGTAAGCCCCGTATATTACTATAGATGTTACTGATATTAGTGTCACACGTATCAATCAGCCATCGCTGTAAGACGCCGAAAATCGTAGGCTGGTACAAGTGATGTTTTATTTGTGATATTCCACTTGTGTACATTAAAACATTGTGTACATTATGTAGTCTTTTTTTTTTAATCAGAATTTTATGATCGACCAATGTAATTGTTACCGCGTCAAACGGTTGACCATTCAGATTTCAAAAAACAAATCTTGAAGACGATAAATGTGGCCTTTGGATTGTCTTACTTTGCAATGTTGTATTCCAGTGTTGATACAATGCATTTTATATCGGACTTGATTAAAACTAGGTCTTACAAACTCCACACACTTGCAACACACAAAAGAAAGCAATAATAAGACCTTAACTTGAAAACTGTTCTTTGATCCATATG